AAAGAAGAAAGCTATCTTCTTCTTCCATAAATAAAGAAGACGTTCTAGCTAAAAGAAGAAATTTGGTAGCAGATATTAAAAACATCGAAGTATACATGACTGGAAATTTTAAACCAGTATTTTGAAGAACTCGATAGCAGTTAAACGTTAGGATTTTCGATACCATGATAAATTATATTAATTATGTTAGCCAGGTAATAACACCTGTTTAACATCGTTGCTGATAATAGATATCATTTGTTATCATTTCTTCACATATCTTAGCTTTCTTTAAAAAATTTTCCATTTGATTTTAATTAAAAGCATTATTTGTTCAATGGTCGAACTTATATTATTGTTCATCAATAGTATCATTAAATAAATGAAAAATACGTTTAACATTTAATGCCTACATATCAACTATAATAAGTGATTAAATAAAAGTTAAACTATTAATGTTAAGTAATTTTAGAATGTTATCTGCATTATAAAAGTAAAAATAACTAATTTTTCTATTGTAGACTGGATTTGTTATAGAGAAAATGTTTGTACTAAATATACAAATTACTAAAAAAAAACAATATATTTACGGTTCATTGATAAGACCATGCTCTGTGTTATCAGTTAATTGTCCCACTGGACCAATATTAGTAATTGTCGTGAAATCAACAGCAGTGGGTGGCACTGGGAGATGGTACTGTAGTGATGCTCTTAATAAGTACAATTAAAACACAAATAAGAAATGTGAAGTAAACAAAACCGAGCTTATCAAATAGTACCCGAACACGGAGAGCACAAAACAGCACACCTATATCTCTACCGAATTCGAAGTCTTACGAATTGATTAGCGAATGCCACTACAATTTATAAATATATACATTGTATTATCAGTCACTGTTTGTCGACGATCGGGTTAGGACTCGTGTTGTGTTGGTAACAGAAAAATGTGGTCAATGTGGTCACTGTGGCATTCATAGTTTTGGACTGTTTTTCGAAAAGTCAATCTATAAGAACAATCGAACTCAATTACAAGTACTTAAACAAATTCACAATAACAACAATTTACAATCTAAAATCAAATTTACGATTTACTATTGGCTGTAATTGTGAGCAATTTGTTTGTTTGTTTTTTTTTTTTGTTCGTTGTTCTCGTAATGGTTTTATTTACTATATAATTTAATTTCGAATTTCATAAATGATTTTATAACAGTTTTACATTTCGAAGCTAGACGAATTCGTTTATGTTCGAACTTTTTTGAATCTAATAAAAAGCTTTTACAAGCTCGCAGACGGTTCAGTTAAGAAATGTTCTTGCTTGCATCTCTTCAAGAAATTCTATATGGAAATATTTATTTTGAAAAATAGCGGTTATAATTAAAATAATAGTTTAAATCGAATAAAACTGAAAATTTAAAATCGAATAAAAAATACAAATAAAATGTATCAAGTAAGTGTAATTATTAAAAGTGTTTTATATATTTTAAATTATTGAAATTAAATATTCAAATTCATTTTAAATAAAAAAATGTGAACATAAATATCTTCTGAAATTTTGTATATAAATTATTTAAATATAAATTATAGGAAACTTACATGAATTTGTATTTTTAATAGTGATGTATTTTGAATAGTTATTTTGTGTATAAATTATTTAAATATAAATTATAGGAAACTTGTAGGAATTTGTATTTTTTAATAGTGATTAAAATAATCTAAAACTTTTGAAAAATAATATTTTTCAAAATTACTCCATCAAATAAATGATAATGTATTTCATAGTAATTGATTTACTATGTAATATGAATTAAATACATAAAAAATAAATTAATTACTAAAATTGAAATATTTAATAAAAAATAAAAATTGGAAAGTATAACTAATTTTATAAACACATTTTTTTCAATTATATCTTCTGCAAAGCACAATTTTAAACTAATAATTCATTTACGCATAAGTCCTACTTATATAATTAAAATAATTAACTATGAAATAAAGTTTAATATACGCTTTTTTATGTATAATATATATATTAATTATATATATTGTTTAAGAGTTCGATATATTGCATATATATGTGAAGCAATTGTCCTCATAAAATAACGATTTAAAGAATATTTTCAATTCTACTAAAATGTATTGTCCTATTTTATATTTTTTAATATACAATATAATTGCGAAAAACTATATAAATCGTCTCATTTTAATTGTACTGATGAATTTCCAAATCCATCAAATGCGATAGGTAAAACTATATAGTAGCCAATTACATTATAAATTTGTTCATCTCCATTGCGGTTCTAGAATGTTCTAATTCTCTTCGAACGGCATTTCTTAGTGAAGTGTCTGCTAATCCATTTCACTTTCTTTCCTAGGCGTTCGTTAGGAAAACACAATGTTTTAAGTTTTTTCCGTTATAAAACAGTCTCGTTTTAGTACATAACATATTGTACATATAAATTACATTGTGCCATAAAAACTAAATCATTTCTTTTTTCACCGGTTTTAGATTAATTTGGATCCGTTAAGCTCAAAATATCCAATCCGCATCTTACCTAGAAATCTTGAATTTTTAGCAATAACAGGCTAAAGTTCAAAAATTGAGATTTTAGAGGATTAATAAAAAACATTTATTTTTAGAGAAACGAGTTTCATGTTTTCAATTGAATAGATAAACATTTTAACCTTACATCTACTTACCTAAATTTCCTACTCTTTTTCTCAGAGACAGTTTGCTTTTTAAATCAACCTTAAAAAAATTGTTTTAAAAATATTTGAAAAATTCTTCTTTTTAATAGAAAAGGAGCAAAGTTTGGAAAAACATGTCCAAGGCAAATTTTTTGTAGACACAAAATTCTTACCCTGTAAACCCCAATTTTTGAACTTTTACCCGTTCTTGCCAGAGACTTAGATCTCTAAGAAAAAAATAGGTTGCAGATTTGAGCGCCGTAGCACGTAATTACCGAAACACAAATAAAATATCAAATATATCAAAAAAATCTATATCTGGGGCACCTAACATTAATGGTACGAATTCATTTTTCTATCCAATAATTATGATAGATATATCATTATATACAAAATGTTCAACTAATTATTTCATTAGGCGAATCTTAAAAGTTGCTTTGAGATACTTCAAATCGATTAAGACCCGTACGTTAGACTAAACATCAGCTTATAATCCTTTAAAATTATTTCTTTTGGTAGGTAGCATGCTTTGCTTTTAAGTATTGAGTAAACACCTTACAATTAGTTTCAGGGTTTAAGTACCAAGTATTATCCTCCAGCAACTTAACATTTTTTAGATTGATTTTAGATCAAGGTTTTTATTGTGTCCTAAATGCCTGTTAATGCCGTTTTAATTCCAATTGTATTGTATTCCAATTGTATTTTATAAATTTTTAACAGTGGATTATTGAAGGATATAAATCTCAGAATGGTTACAGGCTCCTCGGGGAGATATGCAGATCTGAGGTCAATTATTGCTTAGTCTAATGAAGTGATAAACAATAATCCAGTCACAAAGAGGGGTTTTGTAGAAACCTCGCAGTTAATAGAGAGTAAAAGTGCTCAGGTGCACTGACTCAACTCAACTAGCCTCAACATAGTGAAGGATATAACACTAATATTTTTGAAGATTTTCTATTTGCATGAATGCTTCTTTAACATACTTGTAGTAAGTTTAGCGCTGACTGCATATTTGAGTAAAGTGAGAGGGTTTACTTCATAATTAACTTTTGTTTAATAATATTTTATTGAAACCTAATATCATCTATAAGTCAGTCCATTTCATAATAAGAAATTTTTCAATATCTTATTACATTATATTAGCAACAATTTTTTTTTTTTGTAATTTTATATATTTAAAAAAAAAAAATAAAATAATTTTAATTCTATTTATTTTTTTAAAAAAAAATTTTTTTTTTTTTGTAGTATTTTGGATTTGTTTCGCTCATCATCATAATTTTAACATACAACAGCAATATTATGATAACTGCCAGACCATCAGAATCTGCAGACTTAGAATTAGATGATGCCGAACTTCTATCCAATCCAAACGAATATTATGGAAATTTAACTCCTGAAATAGTGAAAAAAGTAAAAATGTGCGATGCTGATATGGAAACCATGGAACTTTGCATGCGCTGTGCAAAAATAACCAAATCACATATTGTATATCCTTTATGCTGTGCAAACGAAGACGAAGTCAGATATTGGTGCCGGGATTATGTGTACTATCCCAAGTAACTGCGCAACTTTCTTAAGAGTGCAATGTACAATCTATCATAAACAACCATTTATATCACATATATTCTATATAAATTATGCAAAGTATATTTAAAATGCTCTTACAAATGTTAATAGTTTTAGTGGACTTCTTTAGGATTTTGTTTTAGTTATTATGAGAAATTGGCTGTGAAAAAAGTATATATTTATGTCATTAATTATTATGACATTAACTCATAAGGACATAAATTATTATGTGTATATTTAATAAAATTACCAATTATATGAGCAATAATATATCCTATCTGCAATTAATGTAATAAATACAAAATAAAACAATTTCTTTTATTGAATATATATATATTTCTTTTCTTTATTAAATAACTTTTTATTATAAAAACTTTATACACTGTTTTTAATTTAACAAAACGTTATAATATATATATAATTTACTTAGAACTATTTTAAAACATAAATCAATATCTGTTAAAATAAATGTGCATCTATTTTGCAAGGATATGATTACAGTCTTTGATGTCATCAAATTACTATAATTTCAAGTTTTGACAAAGAAAGACTTATAAAATTAGGAAGAAATAAAAGTGACATAAAATGAATGCAATTAATAAAATGGCACATATACAAAGAATCGTTGGAATAAAATATTAAATATTAAACTTTTTTAAAATAACGTTGCAGCAATCAAATCATTATTTTCGATTGTGATTGGTTTTAAAATTTAAATAAAAAATGATTTGCGAATTTAGATAAATGCACATATAACTTAAAATTATTGGTTAAAACAAAGTTGCAAACAAATTAAAGAATTTTGAATTATAATCACTTTTGCTAATGAAATACAATAGCTTTTAATTGTACTGTAGTTCTCCAATTTATATAATATATTTTTTCCATTTACTTTGTTAGGTACATCCCGGTTATCGATTAATTATTTTCCTTCTTTTGGTTTTTTTTATTATTATTTTTTTGTTTTTTTTTATTTTATTTTTTTTTTTTTTTGTGGTACTGAATTTAGTATATACATTCAGTAATTTGTTCTATACAGTTTTATACTTACCCAAAAATCAAAAAGCTCGTAAGTCTTTTTATCTATTGGATTGGATTCGTATCACTTGAGATCGCATGAATATATACAATCATCACTTATCACAACAGAGTATCTCTAAGAAAAATATTTTTCTGGTTGTTTTTTTATGTTTGTTCGTTAAAATGATTAAATTTGCATTCCAGGTCCGCACAACTTCCCATTAATTCATAAGGACAGAAAATGATCTCTGGAACAATTCTGAAATTATAAATTTCTAAATAAGATTTGATTTTTTTGTTTTTTGTTTTTTTGTAATTATATATCTTTAAAATATTGTGAAAGAAAAAAAATTAAATCGGAGCCTACAACTAATTAAGTAATTTAGCACTGATGCTATTTAGTAAAACTTAAATAGTAAGAATTTTCTAATGTGCACTAAAATACTTGATTCACTGTAATTGAGTTTTATTAGTTTTTTCTAATCTATTACATATTTTAATTGAACTTCAATCATTTTAAAAATATATTATTCTTTTAACTAGATGTATTATAAAAAAAAACATACATTTTTGCGACCTTTTCTTAATTAATAAAATATAAATAAACAAAATATTTTTAATAAAGTAAGGGCACAATACATAATTAGGAAGTCCACTTTATCGTCTTTGAACTTGAATGCTGCACAAATATATTTTCTTGAATGTTATGGCATGATATTTTTTGAATTTTTAGAAAAGCCTTATATTAAGAAATAGATGCATGCATAAAGCACTCTTCAAAGATAACACATGTTAACACATGCATGGAATTCTTTTGTTAACTTGTAAAACTTTTACTTGTCTCTATATATCACTTGTAACTTATCAGGTACCGCCAGCTGAGAGCCTTTTTGCCAATGCTTTTTTTATCATTTTTGTTTTTTAAGGTATTGCTTTGTAAGTCTTATATAAAACAAATTAATGAATTTCAGGCACATTGACTTTCAGTTAAATGCAGCACTAAAAAAAAAAGAAAAAAAATTATCTTTTTATTCATGATATATATACGACATAAGATCATACACATTTGATATATATGGGCTTATACGAGAAACACCAAAGAGATACTTATAATCATATAACATACTTGTTAAAATATCATTATTATTAAAATAAAGTATTTGAAATATAACACTATCAATCTGAAATGGTTTCCTCGTGAGTCTTTCTACCTCCAACACCCATATCAATAAAACAGAAAGCTTATAATATACTTTTAATTAAACGAAACTCCCCAAAAAAAGAGTGTTTCTGTATATATCAAAACTTATATCAGCAATAAAGCATTATTAACTCATATAAACATTTTTTTTTTTTCAAGAAAAAAATTTGCTATGTATATTTATAATGTAGTGTTTCGAACAGTATTAAACTACAACAACAAAAATTCATTTTATATTATATTAATTAATTGAATTTTTGGCTGACCATACAGTTATTTCGAGTATTGCCAAATACCCATCATACCCATCATGGTCTTGGAAATAATTCTTGTATTTAAGTACCAGGAATCGGAATATTTATATATCAATACTCGTTGATACAACATTATTAATTTATATAAACAATTTTTTTTCTCAAAAAAATTGTATCTTTACAAACTATTGGTTACTTACTACAGTACAATCGAATGTGCACTTGTTTGTCCTGTGATATGCTATCAGCACTTTTCATGGCGGTCCTAACTCCTTTCATGTTTAACTAATATAAGATGCACAGCATTACATGAGTATGAACAACGGTTTTAGAATATTTTAATAATTCATTTTTGCTATGGAACTCAGTAAAAAGTTTTGATTTTCTTATATATTATTTCTTACATTTAATTTCATGCCATATCACAATATTTAGGTACCATATAATCAATTAATATTTAATATTTTTCATTGTTAAATGCTAATTCATAAAATCAAAACTTACACATGATAATATAACCTTCACATTTAATTCGCACAAACCTTTCAATTTTATCACTATTCATCAATGGTGATGCATATTGCTGGAAACAACCAGATCTAGCTTCATTATCATTATTAGATATTTCTTTTATCGTAATCTGAAATGTACTCAAAAGATGTATAATTATACCAGAAATTATATTAAAAAATAATCTTTCATAAAATACTATTAGATTTTTTGTTATAATATCGTTTAAATGTATATACATTTTATATATTAAAACCCACTTCATCAAATCCATTATCAGGTGCGTTCAAATCTTCTACTGTGTTTATAATTGACAGGTGAACGTCCTCTTCAGAAATTTGTGTTTGTGGCATCGGATCATTTTTACTATCGTTCAAAACGGATTCATTTGACTCTGTAGGAAGACTGTCATTAGATTTGTTTACAGCTATCACATTCTCATTACTGATTTCTACATTATAGTTCTCTGAGCTAGGGCATGCTATGAAATCATTTGTATTAATTGTATTTAACAAACTGTTAGCGTTTATTTTACTATTATTATTTTCTGGCTTGGCCAATTCAATATATAAATGCTCTATATTTTTGTTGACATCTGTCACATTATTGGTTTTCTTCTCAATATCAGCATTATAAGCATCCATCAAACTATTCGTATTTATCTCAATGTTATTATATTCTGGCTTGGCCAATTCAATATATAAATACTCTTTAGTTTTGTTGACATCTGTCACATTATTGGTATTTTTCTCAATATCAGTATTATTACTATACATCAAACTATTGGTATTTATCTCAATATTATTATTCGCTGGGTTTGCCAATTCCATACTGTTGAAGATATCTGTAGTGCACTCGATATTTTTCTCAATTTGATTATTATTACGTGATATAGAGGGTTCTTCGTGTTTAGTAGTTAAGCCCTCATTATTTTTGAATTTTTCTTTTTCTCTTTCAATAAATTTTTCTTTTTCATTGCTTTCATTAAGATAAAGTTTCATTAAAGTTATAGGTTCATTTAATTTTTCAACATTTTCAGTTGATAAATGCTTTGGTGGTTCATTTAATTTTTCATCATTTTTAGAAGATAAATGCTGATTAATATCATATGTTGTTAGATTGGTTTCGAATGCATCTATATTTTTGTGACTGATTGAATTTACCACTTTTATTTCTCTTGCCAAATCATTGAACTTAATTTTAATTTCTTTATTTAACTCATTATTAAGGCTGATAAATGTATAGAAGAGAAAAAAGATTAGGTGCATTACATGTTAATAAATGTGAAAAATTATTTTAGCATAAAATTAAAATATAACACAAACCTATAATTCTCTCCAACAATGCTTTTACCGAGGTTGGTTGCGACTCTAAATAATTTCAGGCGCCTCTTCCGCATATTTGTCAATACTTCATTAGATCGACTAACTTCTGGACAAATCTCTTCTAGTTTTTCCTTTTGTTTTTTTAAATTTAATTTCGCTTCTTCCAACTGGGCGACAAGCTCTTTAACTCGCTTTTCATATTTTACTTCTGCTATTTTATAAGCCTTTACATTACTAACTAATTTCAACGAGCTATCCAATTTATTTAAAATGATGGCACTATGTATAAAAGAGGTAAGTAATATTACATTGCAATTTTTATAATAGATAAATAGATATAGATTTTATAATAGATAAGCACATAAATGAAGAAAATTACGAGCGATTCCTTAATTTAAGTAACAAAACAAGTCATTTAAGTGTGTGGACAAAGTCAATTTTCAATATTACCTGAGCTAAACCTTGTTGCACACTATTTATGGTAGTTCGAGTTATGGAAAATTCTAGTTAAAGAAGTTCGTGTTATGAAAACTTGACTGTATAATCTAAAATATTATATGTTTATATGAAATTGTAAACTTTTCAATCTAATATATCCATGCCACACTTGATTAATTTTTGAGGATTAATTTTTGATGCTTGCTACACTTGATGAATTTTGCATCTATTATTGAAAATTAGTGTATATGAAGAAATCCGCTTGATTGAGTGTGTGTGTGTGTGTAGTGTGTGTTGAAAAGCAAAAGAAATATTTTGGTAAGTAATTAAATATTTATTTTGGTATTCACAAATTACATATATATTTCTTACTTTCGCTGCTCACTGTCTTGCTCTGGAGTTTAGAATAAAATGCCTGTGCAAATGTGAAATATAAAATTTAAAAAAATTATAGAAGAAAAATATTGTCCATATATTGGTTTCTTCATCTTTTCAACAGCATTTAAGTATGAATCAAATTTCAATACACTAAATGCAGTAAACTGTGCGAAAACTGTTATAAAAACCAATTTCAATATTTAATTTAACTCAAGTGAGACATGGTTTAAATTATTACGTGTGAACAGTAACACGCATCAGTCGGTGTAAGTGATTCTCTTACAATTACCAGGAGGAGGAGCTAAACTAACCAATATTTCCATTATAGCTTTTTACATTATTTTTGGTAAAGGATTTTCTATTAGTTTTTAAAATGACTATTCATTAATACGGCAAAATTTTATATAAATGTTAACATATGGATTAAATCGTTATTCAGATGACACTTTTCTTAATTAATCAATAATCTACCACTTGAGAGAAACATTTGAGTAACAATTCAGCTGACCCATTCTATTCTATGGAAAACAATATATTTGATTATTCGTGCCAAAGTCAAAATAAGTAGAAATGAAAGAATGAATTAAACTGTGATTACTGGACACAAACATAGGGACAATCCTTTATCAGCTGATATAAATCATTTCATATAGATAAATAATATAGATCATTTCTTTGTATTGTTGTTGTTGTAACCTACATGAATCTGTAAAGCAGATAACATGAAAGAAATTACAAAACGAATACATAGGTTACGATGTGAATGGGTATCGGTTGTGTGATAAGAGAGGGTCTTATTTTGGGAGAGAAAATAAATTGGATGATGGGTGGGATTATAATTGAAGTCAACCAGCATCAAGACAGAGAAACCTACCCTCAACTTTCTCCACAAAATAATTGGTTATCGTATTGAAATTCTTTTTGTATTATTGTTATTAGATTGTTTTGCTTTTTAGTACTTTGTCATAACTAATAGATTTTGCGTTCTACCGTTACATTAATTGAATTCCTTATGTCTACGACAACTATCTCATCTAAAAAAAAAACAAATGATTTCTTAAGAACAAAATGATACTGCAGAGCAGGACGCTTTTAACGAAATCCGTAAAAAAAAATTGAAAATCTATTTCTCCAGCCTAATTTAAATCAATTAAAAAACAACAAAAAACATGGATGACATCAACCACTCAATCCAAATGAGCAGTTAACGGACATTAACTTGTGAATATTAACTTGTGCCGAATGAATTGCATACACAGCTCTATTCCAAAAATGAGTAAACTTACCTAGATTTATTATAAGAATTTTCTTGCAGACGTAACGTGACTCTTCTTTTGGATTCCTGACTTAAAATCATAGCTGTATTTGCTTTCGTTGTACTTGGTGTTGGTGTTGTTGCTGTATGATTAGATGCGATATTTTCTACTCTATTCGTACTATCAATGCTTTTATTTTTACACACTGCAGTAGTATCTTTTATAGGACTAGAATTATGTTTTCCATCTTTTTCAGTGTACATCATATTTTGTTTTGTAGAAAATGTCTTGTTTTGCTTAGAAATATCAATTGTTTTGCTATTTGGATTAGTAATATTAGGCGTTGCAATTGTTTTGTTTTTTGGAAGAGTAATTTTGGGTTTTGTTTTATTATCAATATTTTTTGACTGTATTTTTTGTCCGTTACTCTCATTACTTTCTTTTAATTTATTTTCTCTTTGTTTCTCTAATAGTTTCATACGTTCTACAAGCCTGCTGTATTCATGTTGAGCAGCAATCGGTAAATGTCGTACAGCCTAAGAATAAAAATTAATATTATTTACTTATTATTTACGTGAATTATACTCACTAATGGTTTTACCTTATCATTATTAACTATCCTTCGGTGATTCATTGTGGCCGCGTGGTTATCTTTCATATTTGTTTTTGATTTGTCGCGTATATTTTTCAAAAAGTTTTCCAGTTTTTGTTCAAATATATCATTACGAACTTTTATTGTACTAGTATTGATCATTGGTTTTTCTGTTAAAATTGTAGGAGAGCTAACGCGAATTGGTGTATTACTACGACTATCCATAGGTAAGCTCAACGGACTTGCATTATCGATGTAATTTGTATTTATATCAAAGCTTGAAAGTTGTTTCATATTAGTTAGGTTATCCTCTTCCTCATCCTCAATATCGCTCTCCGATGTTTGCAGATTTATAATAATTTTTTGTACAACAGGTTTAGGAATCTCGGACGGTGTAACTAAACGTGAAGTTTTCGAAGTAGTTGATGTTGTACTACCGAATGGACTAGTATTTACGCTTCTATCGATTGCATTTGACATTTTTGTTAATTTAAATTTTGTATTTGGATTATTTTCAACGGTTTTTCTTTTTAAGTTCATATTTGTGTTAATGATTTTATTTGGTTTAATAATTTTTCTTACCGTCGATATAAATGTGCTAGCTGAATTTGATTTTTGTATGTTATTTATTATCGAAGTACTTGGCTGTTTCGCCGTTATAGGAAACGTGGGATTTGCAGTGCTTTTCAGTTGATTATCAAATGAACTTAAAAGATTTTTATTGATTGATATTTGTTTTATACCATTTATTTTAGGAGTCAAGATTAAATTAGGAGCAACTGATTTGTTTATGAATTTTAAACTGTCTTCATTTTTTTTGGCATTATATATTTCTTTATTTCCAGCAATAACACTAGTGGCATTATTTTTTATTTCTATATTTTTAGTTTTTTCAATTCTTACATTTATTTTATCATCACTTTTACTTTTAGATTGTTCTCTACTAAATGAGCTACTACTTTTAATATCACTAACATTAGTTTTATTTTTCAAATTCAGTTCAGTTGTTAAATTTTTCTCCTCTGTAGCTAATTTTCCTATTTCTTCACCAATATTAACACAGCTAACTGTAATTGTGTCTAATTTTCCTGCTACTTTTGCAATACTTACGTCGCTAACTGTTACACTTGTAGACACTTCCGTTGCTTTTTCCTGTCTTACTAGTTCTGCAATTCTTTCTTCCAATAAGTGATCTAAAGCACTATTTTTATTTGGTGATCTTTCTTTAAACTTCTTTAAGCATAAGTCTTTTTCCATTTCATTTTCTTCTTTTACTAAACTTATATTATCTTTATCTGATTTATCTGACTTATCTATGATTTCCGATTTTACGCCTCCTTCATCATTTCCTTCCGTTATCATTTTTAAACGTCGAACAGCCTCTTTCAGTATTGATTGTGTTTGTGTTTGTGCTTGAGGACTTTCATCATTTTTAAAAATATTGTTAAAATTTTTTATTTTTAATTCTGGATTAACAGTACTTTCTGTTTTACAAATATCATTCTCTTTTTTTATTATTCTTCCAGACTGTATCTTTGATAATAAAAGAGCGCGTAATGCTTCCTCCTCCTCTCCTTCACTGTTTTCTTTATTCTGTTGATTCTCATAAATACAAGATGTATCTTCAGATTTTATTTCTGTTATATCTTTGGTTATTATATTTTCCTCTACAGTATCATTACAAAGATCAATAATTTCTGTTTCATCACTAATCTCATCATTTTGTCTTTCTAAAGGTATTAATATAGGTGGCGGTGGGGGTGGTGGCAATTCATTGTAACTACAAAAAAGCGGAGGTGGAGGTATGACTTCCATACAATCATTTAAAACTGGTGGTAAAGGCGGTGGTGGTATATTTAATTGATATTGCATATCAGGCACGTATAGTCTATATTGCAATGATGATGCATAGTCCATTCCATTATATGATATTGATGGACCTAAATCTGTTATTTTGCAATCACTGCTAGACGCTACGGGATCAATGGCAAACATTTTATTTGAAACACTGTATACAACATTTTCACTCTCACTTTCAGTATTAACAATATCCATATCTACAGGTTTGGTATCTATCGCATTGCTTTGTGCAACAAACTCTACACTTCGGTCGCTTAAATCTTCGTCAATTGGAATAGGAGAAAACCTTGGAGAAGTTGTTGGACTTATTTCCATCTCAGTAATACTCTCATCTAAATCAACTTCAAAAACTAGATTAGAATTATTATCTGCCTCAACTGAAGCTAGCATTTCATCAAAATCGGTTGGGGAATAGGCTAATTCTGCATTTCGTCTCTTACGTTTCAAATGCCTTTGTATCATAGCTGATTTTAAAGCAATTAATCGTAATTCCTCTTCCTCTTGTGAATCAGATTTATCATTTATATTATTGCATAATTTTACCTCTTCCGAAGCATTTGGAATTTCTATTTTTTCTTCTGGAGGCAAGTTTTCAGGCAAGTTTTCTACTAATTCTTTGCTTTTGGAAATTTCTTTACTATCCTTTAAGTTATTTTGTAAGTAATTTTGGTACTCATTCGTGAAGCCATTTATATGCTTTATATGATTTTTTAATGGTTTCTTTTTCTTATAATGATCATGGTTTTTTGAATAACTTGATTCCTGAGACTTAACTTCCTTTCTACATTTGCTGTTATCAGTTTGCACTAAGCAATCATCCGTACTATCTTCATGAGCATCAATGTGTGAAGAACATTTTTTGTAATCAAAATTATGTCGACGCTTTTTGTTTGGTACATACCGTTTAGAATTTATATCCTTTCGAAACTGTTGATGGTTATTGCTTTTGTAATATGTAGACCTAATATTTATTGAATTTTTTGTTGGAAATTTTCTGCGTTTTCGATCCTCTTTTCTATTTAATGAAAAACTTCCCATTTCGGATTCTGAAGACGATGATCTTATCAAGTTTGTTGACCGATTGAGTTGCGATCGCGGAAAATGGTGATAATATTCATTTGACGGTGTTCTAAATTTTGCTATAATCTCACTTATACTTCCGCAATCTTAAAACAAAAAATTAAAAATACCAATACAATTTTTTGTCTCATATTAATAAAAATTTAGATTAAAAATGTTGTTACTGATATAATGCTTGATATAAATCTATTGTCTAAATATTTTTTATCTTACGCAAAAAAATCAACATAAGATTGGAATATAATTACCAAAACCATTAGCGAAGCTTCTGGATATTAAGTCAATTTTTTCTATTTCATCATTTTTAGATTCCAGTTCTGCTATACGTTTTCTCACTGTTAACGCCTCGTCCGAGGATATAATATATTCGAAATCGTCAACAATCTCACCTTCTTCCCGTTCATCTACATCACCAATTTGTGAACTAAATATATTTTCCGTGGTATTTTCCATTAAATCATTTCCCATTTTATTAATAATTTCTTAAACATTAGGAAGATACGAAAGATACACTTATCAAAATTTTAATCAAAAATTTTTTCTAATACATTTTTTACGCCATTAAAAACTAAGTATGAGATCAAAAGCGAAGTATGCATTGAATGTCATTGTTGCATTCAAATGGATTGATTTCTACTACATATTATAAACATGGAAACACATTGCATACGAGATTATTTAGATATTCTATGTTTGTTAAACGTGTATGAACTGTGTAATATATATTTTAACACTACGTTTACATTGTGAGATTAAAACCAGATTAAAGCAATAATCGAGATTAAAGTATTAAAGATTTTTTTTGTTTCCTTAGAAATGGTGATTATTTTTCTGTGCAACTTTGCAAATGACTTAACAACGTAGATTTTTCTATTCAAACAAATATTGAACATGCCGGAGTAATAAATTTGTTTTATACATAATTATAACTATAACTATATTTATAACTATATTTGTTATAAAATAGTTTATTAAATTTATATTATAAATTCTTTGCACAAAACTATCCTTTATAGTTATAAATACAATTTGTAAAACGCAAAAATTTAAATAAAACATTAGTCAAAAATGTTACTGATTTTTTCACTACTATTGCTTACCTAATTAATAACAAGTTCACACTGCCTCATTTAGGTGGTTTTGTTCATTATAGCCACTAATGAGGATGATTTACCATACAAACCATACAAATAAGCTCATTATCAATAATCAGGTCATTTAAGGCGAATAATCAATAAAAATAAATTTTCCACAAGAAAAATCACTTAAATTTGAAATATATGTCATATGTTTTACATGTAAAATGTAAAAAACAACAGTTGAGCTGTAAACAAAGGTAATGAGAAAGTAAGTGTTTAATAAAATCTTAGTTTTTATTAATTGAATATGTAATTAATATGTGGCTAGTTTGCCACATAATATTAATTCTTTATTATAAGTAAATTAAGATATTTAATTACAATTCGTCAATTACTATAAATTTTGTTTTGTTAACGCACTTTATTGTCGTGTTGCTTCTTAAAAACAATGCTGCTCTTTTTTTCCACACTTAAGTTGGTTGTTGTGTCAAATTGAATAGTTTTTCGTACTAAATGGCGCTAAAGCATTTGCGACGAATTCAACATAGATGTATAAAATGTATATATGTATATGATTTGATATATCAATTATATATTCATTTTTTTTTGTGTGATATATTGTTAAGTAAATAATGTGTATAAAAGTTCTGTCAGCTGCATAAATGAGCTCATTATAATGTGAACGTTCATTCAATATAAATGTCGAAGTGCTTAAATGAAACAGAGTGAATGTACTATAAAAATTTGTTCATGATAAAATGAATCGCATTTTGTGATATGACGGAAATCTCATGGTAGTCTCAAAAAATTGTTTACAAATAATTATATATAAGAAATAAATCCAATACCACTATAGACAGGTATTTGGCAAAACTCGAAACGTCTATATGACAGCCAAAAAATCAAAAAATTAATAAAATAAAAATTTTATTGATATAATTCAATACTGCTCGAAATAACTCTCTGTTGAAAACAATAGTTTATATCAAGAATTAAGTTTCTTTCCTTAAAACTGACGTTAAAAATCAATTGAAAACAACAATATTTCTTAATGCGAAATATAAATATGCAAAAAGCATATTTATTTATAAATATATAAAAATATATAAAAATAAAAATATATATGTAAATGAAATCTAAAATTAGTATATATATATTAATATGAATTAAAAACCTGCGGCGTCTAAAAAGTGAAACCTAGATGTCACTGTAGTAGTTTGAACGAAAAAGTTTCGTTAAATAGGGTTCAATGGAAAAAACGAAACTTCCGTCCTTTTTCACGTAAAACGTCAAGCAACATGCAGCAAAAGGTAACTTTGTGAAAAATATATTTTAATTGTACGGTCGATATGTAACTTAGGTGTGATAGTAAAAAATACAAAATTTATTATTTTCAGCGCAGGGAACCTATTCATGCTGTGCAAGTTTTCGGACGCAAGGTTTGTGCGAAAAATCGTGTTATATGTATACACACGTGCATACATTTTTGCCTAGTACATAAACATATTTTTAATACAATTCAATTTATAGAAAACTGCCACCGCCGTTGCTTATTGCAAACGTGGTCGGGGACTTTTACGCGTAAATGGACGTCCATTGGAGCAAATTGAACCCAAAGTATTGCAATACAAATTGCAAGAACCATTGTTGTTGCTCGGCAGGGTATGTACATAACCTAACTTTTATGTGTTTATACTAAGTTTTTAAATATCAAATGATGCATTTACTTATCCCGAAACTGATAAATTATGAAAGTGACAGAAGTAACTAACTGATTATGTATTTAATAACTTTATTCTAACAATGTCTATATAAATATTGCTAACGAATGAAATCAATTCTTTTTTAGGAAAAATTTGCCGGTGTAGACATCCGCGTACGTGTTAGTGGTGGTGGTCATGTAGCACAAATCTACGCTATCCGTCAAGCTATTTCAAAGGCTTTGATTGCATTTTATCAAAAATGTAAGTTATAGTTTTATCCTTGATTGTTATGATACAGTACATGCCTACTAATACCAGATTTTCATTGAAAATGTATTCCATTATTTGCTTTGAAAGATAAATGTTAGGCAGAATAAACTTTGGGCACATACCAACCATATTTTGTTAAAATTGCACAATATGGGTGATGCTTAAATAACATTTTTTTTTTGTAATATAATTTATAGTATTTATAATTTATGTTCAATCATTTTTAATACTTTTGTATTACATAAAAATATTTTCCTATAATTTCAGTTGTTGATGAAGCCTCCAAAAAAGAAATTAAGGATATTTTAATTCAATATGACAGAACTCTCTTGGTAGGAGATCCACGTCGTTGTGAACCCAAGAAGTTCGGCGGTCCAGGTGCCCGTGCACGCTACCAGAAATCATATCGTTAATATTTTAACGTTGTTTGGGTTTCTTCGCTGCGATTCCATGGGATGTTTAGTTTTTTGTATAATGATTGCGCTTCAATATTAAAAGCATAACAATAAAAATCTTAAAAATAAAAACAAAAGTGTATTAAAATTAAATGTATTTTAATAGAGATACTAGTACGATCCTTTGGAAAGTGAGAACTTATGAATATATATTTTTTCACACAATTCTGTAATTGGGAAAAAATCAAAATCGCGTTAACTTATATACATATAAATTATCTCAACGTTGTCCACTTCGCATTGTGAGATAGTTACTTAGATGCGTTAGTGTCTGTAACTGCAAGGAAAATTTAGTAAACAAAAAATGTACAACTGAATATGAATGGTTCTAATAATAGTCTGAGTATGATATTAAAAAAAATATATAATTATTAATTCAAAGAAGGGTAATATATTATCATATACAAATATCACATAAATCGTATGAATAAATAAAAGCAACTAATGTTAATACAGTAAATTAACTTATCAGTGCACAAAAATATGTAATAGCACAAATTGGTTTTTAAGTCAATCAAGTCTTCGTCCGAGTGCTGCCAACGTGCGCAAGAAAGACGAACCTTAAATAAGTGCGAGTAACCTTAAATAAGTGCGAAACTATCATTCAATAACAACAGCTAAGAATTAAATACGCAACTCTACTTTTAATTTACCCAGAGGTTTGCTTTATTCCAATTCAGGGATCGGCAGTTGAAGTTTTCCGTTCTTATAGCTGAGGTTGCTTTTTTTACACGACACCATGATTCGTGTTTTGACACTATTTTGTTATTAAAAAGTTCTTAAACAGATTTGAATGTTTCTTAAATATTTATGACCTCTAACACATTTTTAGGACTTGTATTATGTTGTTAGAATAATTATATTATATTAAACGTATACGTATATTTGGCCGGCCTCTTTTATAGTTGTAACCTACACAAAGATCAGGTATAAAAATCTTGCCACTTCGATAGCAAGGAGTAGTGACGAGATAATAGCACAGATTGAACCTATAAGTCCCGAAAATATAGTGGAAACAATGACAGCAAACCCAGAGAGTTGGCGAACGATAGAGTCATATGTGATTCAAATCCTTAAACGTTGGCATTTCTAAAGACCCTCCTCGAAGTAACGCGAAAGCGGTTTCGAGGGGGAATAAGTCTTACCGAAGAAGGGAGACTTTTAGTCCATATATTACATATTAATATTAGGGAGTTGGACACACCACTCCGACTACGGTCGATCACGGTGCATAAAGCATTCCACCTCCTCACCACAAAAAAAAAAGTAGGCGTAGATGCATTTTAACTAGGCTTAAATTATTCAGTGCCAGAGGGGACGTAATTATATTGGTGACGTATTATAAAGTATTACTTAAGGTGAGTATAAGTTTGGTTTAAACATATATTTAAGCTTTTTGTCCCGAAAGAACTTAAAAATGTAGCGAATACAAAAAATGTTTCAATAAATTTTGAAATATATACAAGAATTGTACTTCCCGCCTTAAAAAAAACATCACAATGGGAGAGGCAATTCGTAATCTATGCTTCAAGTCTTTAAAACAAAATTGTCTTTCGAAATTACTGCATAAAAAAGATTTAAGAGCTCTGTAATTTATCACTATTACGTTCGATTTTTTATGCTCCTAATTATATCATTGAATTTATTAAGAAGTTAGTTAAGACGTAGCAGCGTTTTGTTATTGATGTTGCGCTCTTGATATCTTTGTGTACCGGCCTGTTATGGATTTTTGTCTGAATATATTTATTAACCAATATGTTTATATTTATATAAGAATATCGTGGATTCTTATGCTTTTTAGTTTCATTTTCAAGATGAAATTGATAATTAAACAATTGACATTATATTTTTATAATTAATACCAGTAACAAACTAACTTTAGTAAAGTTCGATAGCTAAAGTTTATAATGTTAATACGGTATAGCTTAGCTATCTACAAGTTTTCCAACATTGAGCGACTAGATGGTTTGTTTTATTTCTAACGCGAAGATACTTTACCAGGCGTCATAATCTTTCACTGCTCAAATCTTTCTTCTCTCAGCTCAATATCCTATCGACCTGCTGAATAATATTAGATACAAGACTACTCAATTTTTGGCCTTTTATTTAGATGATATCGGCTGCGTTTTTTCTGTGATCACTCTACTACCGTGGTTACAACAAACCCTTAAACAGAGTTTGCTCTTAGACAGTAATTACAGATTAGCAAAAATAACCTTCCATGTTTCATTAATTAATTTGAAAGAAGTTTTTTGAATTTGTTATGTGTAAGCTTTATTTAAATTTAAACTTTTGAACAAAAAACAAATTAATATGAACATAACATAAACGTAATACTAACTGAATATTATATCACTAATACTATTTTCTTCAATTTCAACTATTTTTTATCTTGCTTAAGCTTACAAATAAACTCTCGACTAAACTGAAAAAGTTAATTTATACTATGTTCAGACATAAATTCGGTTTTAAGGTTAGAACGAAATTAAAGAAAATTGCCTTAATTCATTGAAATGAAGAGACATTTCAAATACAACTATGCGTATGTTAAATTTTCAGCAAAAGATAAGTTGAGATAACAAAAAAGTGAGTTTTTTTTAAACGTATGTCAATGACAGTTGACGTTATTAAAACCGAAAAATGTTTGAATTTGATCATATGAAAAAAAACTATAACTGTTATTAATTTAAAATAGAGCGATAAATAATAATCCACGTACAGGAAATCCACACAAGCTAATAAAAATACTGAATGCCGTCAGTATTTGTTGAATTAAGTCAACATATCCACTACTAATTGTATTTCCTTATTTTCTACTACTTTTTGTTTTGCTTACAAGTAAACTCTCAACCAATCTGACATTTCAAACATCGTACATTTAAGCGGCGTCGTTTTAATAATAGACGCTTAATTGTTTTGGGTGTTGTAACATGTAAAATGTATATTAAATCCGTGTATATAGATGGATTCAAATCCTACGGGAAACGTACGGAGATACTTGGTTTTGATAGAGAGTTTACTGCCATAACGGGTTTAAACGGGACCGGCAAGTCAAACATTCTTGATTCGATATGTTTTGTACTTGGCATTATGAATTTAAGTCAGGTAATGTTTTTTAATATAATTTGTAATTTTTTTGTGCTAATATCAGATATCAGGTGCGAGCTGCGTCGTTGCAAGACTTAGTATTTAAAAGTGGACAAGCGGGCATAACTAAAGCTACAGTTACACTAATATTCGACAATACGGACCCAGAGCAAGTAAGTTTTTAAAGCAATGTTAGAAGTGAAGTAATGAATTCTATAAAAACTTTATTTACAGTGTCCGTTAGGTTATGAAAAATGCAGGGAAATATCAGTAACACGCCAAATTGTTGTAGGTGGAAAGAACAAATATTTAATAAATGGCAAAATTGTTCAAAATAAAAAAATCGCGGATTTTTTTTGTTCAGTACAGCTCAATGTTAATAATCCCAATTTTCTTATTATGCAAGGACGTATAACTAAAGTATTAAATATGAAACCAAAAGAAGTAAGATTATGTCAGTTTATAATTAAAGTACATTTGTAAAACTTGTTACATAAATGATTAGATTCTTTCCATGATTGAGGAAGCTGCTGGCACAAGTTTATATGATAGCAAACGTGAGGCTACTACTAAACTTATAGAAAAGAAAGATGTGAGGGTGCGTGAAACGAATCAACTACTTACTGAAGAAGTTGAACCAAAATTGGAAAAATTGCGAAAAGAACGGACAGATTACATAGACTTTCAAAATATTTGTAGAGAAATTGATTCTTTAACACGTATTCATATATCTTATCGATACACAAAGCACAAGCAAGGTCTAGATGCTCATGAAGCAACTCTCGAGAAGATTTCTACAGACATTAGTAAATTTCGTCAAACTATTGAGGAAAACAAAAAAGAAAGTGAAATAATTGATGAAAATTGTAAAGAATTACAAGATAAAATCGATACTGACTGTGGCGGAAAATTAAAAGAAATGGAAGAAGAACTTCGAAATCTCGTTTTAAAAGAATCTGCTGCAAATGCTGATTTCAAATCTGCAGAAACTGATATTGCCCATACAGAGAAAAATCTTCGTACAATTGAAAAATCGATAAAAGATGATGAAAAAACACTAGGAAGTAAAGAAACTAAGCTGTCTAATATTCAAACTAATTTTGACCAGTTGAAACAAGCAGAAACAGATGATAAGCTTAAGTATGAGGCAGCGCAGAAGCGAATGGATAATGTATCGCGAGGACTAACTACCAATGAGGAAGGGGTTACCACGTCACTACAAGATGAATTAATAAGTAATTATTAATCATTTTTAATTTGTATTAAATTATAAACGTTTGATGTATGTTTTAAAGGTGCTACTGGACAAATTACTGATGCCGAAACTAACGTAAAAGGTACTGAAATGGAATTGGTTCACGCTCGTAATAAACTTAGAGATCAACAAAATAAGACCCAAAAAAATGATGATGCGTATACTAAGGATAAAGCAAAACAAAAAGAACTTGAAGAAAAAATAAAGCAACTAGAATCTAAACTAAGACAAATGAATTATGAAGATGGCTTATATGAAAAATTAGAAGAACGTAAAATGCAGATCAATATGGAAATTCGAAATATACACAGTAAATTAAATAGGCTTAATGCACAGAACTTTAATATGGACTATAAAGATCCAGAACCAAATTTCGATCGATCTAAAGTGCGTGGCATGGTTGGAAAATTATTTGATGTAAAGGATCCTCAATATAATGTTGCATTACAAGCTGTAGTTGGAGGGCATGTAAGTTAAATTAATATTTTTTTTATATATTTTAAGTTTATATTTTTTTTATGTATTTCAATTATTATCTTAATTGAAATACAGCTCTTCAGTCATGTTGTAGATGATGATATTACTGGAAAAAAAATATTACAAAAGGGTGACCTTGCGAAAAGAGTAACCATTATTCCCATGAACAAAATTAAAGAAAGAAGTATTGATCCCAAATTAATAGAAAATGGACAAAAACTTGTAAGTAAATGTTTTCGATTATATATTTTAATTTCTTAATTCAAATAATTGTGTAATTTTGTAATAGGTTGGAAAAGAAAATATAGAAACAGCAATTAATTTAATAGATTACGATAAACACTATGATTCTGTAATGAAGTTTGCTTTTGGACACTCTGTAATATGCAAGAATCTAGATGTTGCTAAAGAGGTAAATATGATTTTTTCTTTCTTATTTGGTGTGTGTGTGTATTGAAAATTTTGATAACAATTGTGTACAAATATATATGTATATTGTGTATATGTATTTAGGAATGTCACTATTTATATTATATACAAACACTTGCAGTTCTTGATATTTTTGTTTAAGCATTTAAAGCGTTTTAACGTTTTAAAATCTACAATTTACTCAGCAAATTTGATTCATTATTATGGGTTGACTGGTACATTATTATTAGATTAATGTTACCATAGTCCCAAAGTTTATATAACATATTTAGGGGCCAATAAAATCTAAAATCTAAATATAGTTAAACTCGCCCCAATTATTAAATGTTCTCAATTGCTTACACAATAAGTGTCGAAAGTTTCCTTTAAATGTGATTATGTGGATTATTATTAAATGTGATTATCCTTTAAATGTGATTAACTTGCTCTATCTTATAAACATGATATGTTCCTTTTGTACGAATTTTTTCTTTTGTATTTATATTTTTATAGGTAACTTTCAATCCTAAAGTAGGTTGTAGATCAGTAACGTTAGAAGGTGATATATTGGAACCAGAAGGAATTTTGACAGGTGGCGCTCGTGAAAAAAGTGATGATTTGCTACCTATTTTGGCAGATATAAAACATAACGAAGAATTATTAAAAAGTCTTAAAATAGAGTTACAAAACGTTAATAGAAAATTAGAGTAAGTTAATGTTTAATATAGATTTAGTAATATTTAAGAAATTGTTTATTTTGGAATAGATCAATAAAAGTGGTAGCAGCTGCTTATAATAAAATTAAAGAGGACGTGGAAGAAGCGCAACTTCATTTAGCCGCCTGCTTGCAACGACTATCCCACACTTCATTTCAGCAACACGAAGAAGAAATAAATTCGCTTAAGCAAAACATAATTGATTTAGAATCGACTTTAGTTAAATCACGCGAATCAGTTAAAATGTATCGAGCTAAGATTAAAGATTTAAAAGCCAAAATTCAGGACGCTGATGGTTATCGAAAACGTGAATTGAAACAGGCAAAAGAGGAAATGGAGGCAGCTGCTAAGAAAGCACAAATATCTCAACAGAATGTGACGAAACATGAAAGCCAATATTCAACACTGAAGCTTGAAATAGAAGCACTACGCGAAAATATAGAAAAGTCCAAAAAAGAGAGTGAGATTTTAATCGAAAAAATATCTAAAATGAAATCGAGTATTACTGATTTACAAAACAACTGCAAAAATTATTCGTCTCAACTGTCTGAGTTTAGAGATCGCATTGATAAACAGAAAGAATTTATAAAATTACAAAATCGCGAATTAAAGACTCTAGTAGTTAAAAAAGAAAAGCTGCATAAACAAAATAATGATTTGAATCTTGACATAAAGAGAAAAGAAACTGAATTAAATAAAATGAATATTGAAAAGGAACAATCTGTAGCAAAAATACAAGATCTGGAGAAAAGATATCCTTGGATTCTTGAAGATCGCGAATTTTTCGGTCTAAAAAATACTCGTTACGATTATAGCAAAGAAAATCCAATTTCTGCGGGAGAAAAATTGTCAAGAATGCGTGAGAAAAAAGACAAAATGGAGAAACATATTAATGTTAAAGCAATGATGGTATTAGATAGAGAGGAAGCAAACTACAAGGAAACAATGCGCCGCAAAACGATCGTCGACCAAGATAAAGAAAAAATAAAAAGAATCATATGCAAAATGGACGAAAAAAAGCGGGAAAAGTTAGAGAGTTCTTGGAAAGTGGTCAACGAAAATTTCGGTAGTATATTTGGTACATTATTGCAAGGAGCGCAAGCGCGCCTCCATCCTACTATACAGGGTAATCATTTGGTTGGACTTGAAATTAAAGTTGGATTTAATGGAGTTTGGAAGGAGTCATTGAATGAATTATCTGGTGGACAAAGATCATTAGTCGCGCTATCATTGGTACTAGCAATGCTTAAATTTTCGCCTGCTCCTTTATATATTCTTGATGAAGTCGATGCTGCATTAGACATGTCCCATACACAAAATATTGGGAATATGCTAAAAGAACATTTCACCAATTCGCAGTTCATAATTGTGTCTTTAAAAGATGGTATGTTTAACAATGCGAACGTCTTATTTCGTACCAAATTTGAAGAAGGAATATCATTTGTTACAAGAACCCTCAATCCAAAGCTCGCAGCGATGGGTAGAAAATAAATACTAAACTGAAAATGTATTACGTTTTCGTAATCTTTTGGTATATTATAATTGTTTAATTTTTGTTACATGTTAAAATATTGAAGCCTTTTTTGTTTTCATCTTTTTTTGAAAGCTCACTGGCCTATTTTATGCCATATTCAATAAAGTAATTATAAGAATTACAATTTTTAATTGTTTAAATCAATTGTATTTGGGAATAATAAAATCTACACAAGTAAAATAATATCAGCAATATATTATTATAATATAAATTATATTTAATAATATAATGCTATAGCATAGTCTCTATTTTCGATACAAATTAATTTATTATGTAGCTGTGTATGACATAACCATTTACGACTGTTTTAAACATGGTTTACTATTCCAAAATGTGATTCTCGTATTTTGTGTCCTGCATGCACTTAGAAGTGTTCTTGGCTTAAATCTTATTACAGATTTCACATAAAAAACAAATCTAATCAGATCTGATAGATAGAGAATTCAGACACATATAAAATAGTAATGTTGTTGTTAGCTCTTGCGCTTTCCAATGTTTAACACCTACTTTATTGCACTAATTTGTACTTGAAAATTAAAAAATCAGATTGAGATAGGTTTGGTTTATATTACGCAAGCTCTACCTCAACTACAATTAAACAAGCGTCTATCTATTTTAAGATATAGCACTTCAAATATCCCATTGTTCCATCTGTCTAATTTGCTGTGTGAAAGGGTGTTTGCAGTAAAATATTTGTAATTTTAAAATCACGAAAAAGATATAAGATCATAAGTAGTATGAATATTCAGCTTAATATAGAAAGGCTACATGATATAGCCATACCTATTGTGCATTTGTTATTCTTTTTGAGAAAAAATTAATATTTTGTTTATGAACTGTTAGGTAGGAAACAATATTTTCCCAGAAAATTATATCGTTGGAGTATAAAATACAATATTATCCGGATCGGTGGTTTCAATCGCTTGAATCGACAGTTGAGATATCATGATATACACTGTTGAATCGAAACTAATACTTTTGTATTAATTATAAAGGCACCTATTTGAAATTTAGCGTATATCAAGCATATATATATTTAGTATATCTATATCATATTTTGGTATTTCTGATTATTTTTGCATATAAACATACTAATACTAATGTGTCAGGTATGCGCTTTTATGAGAAAAACTTTTGTATTTGATATTATTTTTTATCTATTTTAGTTTAGAGTTTAGTCTAATGAAATGATTCTTAATCATACCTACTTAGGATGTGAAATAAATCAAGGGCAAAAGTTTAAAATTAATAAATTTATTAATTAAAATTGATTAGAAGGGTAAACTCACACATAAAGAGAGTTTATAGTTAATAAAATAGTATTTCTGTGATGTTAAAGTATAGACTTTATAACTGTGATCTCGAAAACCGCAATCGTACAAAGAAATGATAGTCAACGAATCGACTGGTAGAAATCGAGTAAGAGACATTTGGAAGGTCATGCTAATATATAACTAGAAGAAAGATGGTAGACGGTAAAAAAAGTAAAAGATAGGTCATATAGCTCACATAAATAACTATATACATATGACAAAATAATGGGTGCAATCGCAGAGGACTTTACGCTAAATAAGCCGGATTTTTCTATTAAAGCAGAGTTGTTTGCGTACCTTATGCGACAGGCGTGTATGAAATCGGGTAGGATTTGTTATTTATAACAAGGACGCTCAGTCTATTATATGTGTGGAGAAAGTAAGTCGGATAGTAATTTATTTGTAAAAATAATTACAAACAAATGGTTACTAATAGTTGGTGAAAAGGTAAAAGTATGGATATTTTTTAACATCCACGACATTACAAAACTTAGGACCTGTATATGTACATAATATATAAAATAAGTAAATCTTACGATTTTTACTTATTATTTAAAAGACAATAAAATAAAAATTCTCATTTTTTTTAGTTAGATATTTAAAAAATTTTATATTGTTTTATAAAAATGTTTTAAAATATTAAAGTGAATTTAAATTTAACCATATAAGCAACAAGTATTTTGTTTGAATACAATATTTAAATATGTCCCCAAATTTCCCAAAACAATATAATTTCCTTAGTATCTACAACTAATCGACAAAACGTCAAAATAAAGACAGCGAAAAACGTCAAAAAGGCGCTAAGACATACCGACAGAAAAAGAGTCAATAAATTGTATAATAGAAATTTCCAGATAGCTACAGAATGGTATATAACTGCCTTATTAACTATATAAGACAGATTGTGGTTGTAAGTTTTATCAAAATAATTTTCCTAAAGCAATATATTAAAAATTACTGAAATATTTCATTGAATTTTTCTTAATAAAAGATAATCAAAACCAAAAGAATAAGCAAACTAAATATGTAGTAAAAATTTTTATAATAATTTATGAATAATAAGTTGTTAAAATAACCTGTGAATTTCGTTCCAAAAACACATACGTATAAAATATGACCGACGACGGGTGCGATGTGCCGTACGACTCACACAGCAAAAGCGGCCCGACGGACATAGAAAAACGACGACAACGAAGTTGAAGTGAAAAACATTTTGGTTTGAAGAATATTTATTAAAAATTATTAAAAAATTTGATATATGTAAGTGATAAAGGTCCCAACTGGAAAAGATATAATGGTAAGTTAATAAATTGTTTATTAATTAAATTAGAATTTTAAAATATACAACTATTTGTTTTCTCGAGTAAAGAAGCAATTCTTTGTATAGAGACGAAGTATTGTAGAAAATTGACAGCAAGTGTCGTGCCTAGCGGAGCACCCGACAATCCGACTGTCAAGTAGAAGTAAAAATAAAATTTAATAACTACACCGCTTAACTAAATTTTGTAAATAAATAATAATAGAATATATAGAAATTTTTGTTGCAAATAATAATGACTTAAAAATTTGATATTCATTTAATATATTATGACGTAAATATTTCCGCCACTAGTGAAACTACAATAAAAACTTTTATTTTGTTTTTAATAGGATATACCTTAGTACACATTAAATATTATAAAGTTATTTTGTAAACTCATTTACATTTACTTATATCGTAAGCAAATTTTATTATAGTTTTTTTTTTCTTTAAATAAATATTGTTGTGTGAAGTATCCATATCTCGCCTTTTCGTTTTTTAATTTAAGGTTTTCAATATTTTATTCAAGGATCGTGTGACCAAGCCCCAGAAGAAAATGTTAATAACTCTTTTGCGTGAGACCAAATATATGGAAGGCAAAAAAGAGAAGGAATGGTATTGGGAAAAGATACAATCTGCTTTAAACACCATTGGCCCCAAAAAAACAATAATTCAATGGAAAAAGGTATTGTTAGAATCATTTAAAGAATTATATAAAAAACAAATTATATTATAATAAAAGAATTGTTTATGGTGTAGAAATGAGATGTAATATTAATTAAATTATATGTAATCTTATATAAACTAAGATTTCGATATTGTTCAAATTTTATGTCAAATGAGTCGATGATGTTTTGGGAAAGAACTTTAAATGTTTGTCTGAATGACTAAAATCGAATGATTATATATAAACTGAATTATTTAAACTGATTGCTATAGATTATATAAATCTAATATTATGAGCGCCGTTCGATTTAGTATTAATTTAGATATGGTTATCAAAGAAACTAATAGTTTCATTATATTATTTATATAAAAATAATATTATATATTGAAATTTTTGATCACATTTGAGTGTTGTTGTTGGGTGTTTTTGGGTCCCTAATGAAAGGGTTAAGCGGAACCTTTTTATCTGATGATAAAAATGACGAGTGAATATTAAATATTTGAATATATATTTCATATTGTCATAAGAAATTAAATCATTTGACTATATACGTTATATAGACTTCGCAACTCAGTTTTTTTTTAAGTTATAAGTAAAATAGTAAGCTATTAGTCGTAAGTTTTGGAAACCATAAGGCTATATGCTCAGGAATTTATATATATAATGTATTATTACTGTACATATTGGGTTATCGCTTTTATTATAATAACAATTAATTAATTTTTTTTTACATAATTATGGTTGACACTCACATGGAACTTAATAAGGCATATACCTATCTGTAACGTAATAAATTTTTGTACTAACACTAATCGTTATTTCATTGTTATTGTCAAATTTATTTAATATTTATTTTTTGTTTTAATTTTTGAGTCGTTACTTCGAAAATGTTTAAATGCGGTTATTTTTGTTTTTTAAAAATATACTAACTTTTATTTCGAAAGTTTTTTTGTGTATCTCGTGTTTCGGCAAATTCGCTTTTGCCTTCATCAGGAGAATTCCTAATATTCCTAATATTAGGAAGGCAAAAGCGAATTTGCCGAAACACGAGATACACAAAAAAACTTTCGAAATAAAAGTTAGTATATTTTTAAAAAACAAAAATAACCGCATTTATTTAATATGTTTTATGCTTATATTGTGATAATAAAAAACTTACCAGTAAGCTTATAAATAAAAAATATTAATTATGTTATACCCTAATGTACTCATTTTCGAAAGAGTTTAAGAAAAAATGTGTTAACAGTATCTCTGAAATAGTTTATAATATTTTCTATATTTGAATTACTATTTTTTATACATAATAATTTTAAATGCCTTTTTTTTTGAATCTAGTGTTGGAGAGATATGCGTTTAACAACGCGAAAAAAACTTGCCGAGCTAAAGCGTTGCCAACTTGCAGGTGGTTCACCCCCTCCTGGTATCGAATTGAATCAAGAAGATAACGATATTATTGATATTGTTGGAACAGAATATTTTTACGAAGAAATGAATGGTGAACTAAAACCAGAAACATTTATGTCTAATTTTGATTATGTGCCAGAACATTTTTGTGATGCTATCTTGACAGCAGCTGCAAATGGTCAACATCAGCATATGCAACATCCTAAAGAACAACAACATGCTGCACAACAGCAACAAGATCATCATACCAATGATGGCGAGACCAATGACGCAGCGGGTTCATCAAATCACACGGATACACATGGAAACTCTTTTCAAAACTCCGGCTTGGGTCAATTGCAAACTCATAATGGTGACCACAATACTGGTGCAGGCACATCACAACAACATAGTAATTTGCCTCAACATCCTGCATTTCATGGTGGCCTTCATCCACATTTATTGCGCCGACAACAACATACCACTACCCCTATTCAACGTGAAACAGTTTTTGAAGAGAAATTATTACAGCTTATACAGGAAGCATTTCCAAAAAAATCTAAAAAACGAAAAAGCCGTGATCCTGATAAATTATTTTTGCTTTCATTATATGATGAATTTAAACGTGTTCCGGAGGAAATACGTCTTGATGTGAAAGCCGAACTCATACAGGTGTTGAAGAAATATCAAAAAAAGATGCCAATTAAACAAGAAAAAACGAATTCACAATCGTCAACTTCTACCAGTGTTAAACAATCTCCAACGCCAACCAGTGATAAGATACAGTTGCCCCATAATTCACAGTTATCGCATGGAATGTATCAATTGCAAAAGAAATATGACAAAAATGAAAAAGAACAATCACCACAATCACAAATTGAACGTGTACAACATGGTCGTGATGCTGCCGGTGCTACGACAACTGTAGCTATACATCCTTCTCAACAAATACCACATTCACTTTTCCAGTTACAAAAAAAATATGAAGAAAATAATGAAAAAGTTCATCAACAAAGTGACCAACGCAAGCATGTTGAGGCAACACATCAGCAACATACCGCTCATCAACAACCGCCTCCTCCACCTTCCAATGAGCAACATTTGCACCACACACAAATGCCTCATGGAATTATGTTTCCATTGACGCAGATTCGTAACGAACAATCTGCAACACAACAACATCATTCACACAATCCACATCAGCAACCACAACAACATCCACATCAACAAACACAACATCACGCTCCACAAATTTTTGGTACATCAACTGCACCAACTTCAATGAGTACAGATCGGCCGTCAATGGCCTATGAAAATGTCGGATGAATGTTGAGTCGCTTATGGGAGGCCGCGTGGGAGGCACGCTTTCCAACAACTTTATTGCAGGAAGGTGGCAATTGTTAGTTATAAGCATAATATTAATAATATAAACAAAAAATTATTATTATTAACATGATCATTTGTTAACATTTGATAAATTTATAATACATTTTTTTATTATTTTGTGTAAAATAATTACATTTTAAAATTGTAATTAGGTTTTTTCTTTTGAAATTGTTTAATTAAAAAATGCTGAATGAAACTACACTGGCATATATTGAAAATATAAAATGTAGGGAATAAAGAATTTACTTGTTACGAAAATATTTGAAATTTATGCAAGTAAACTAGTATATAATATATTATAACACATGTATTGAAATTATTTTTATTTTGTCATAAAGATCTGTATAAAGTGTATCTACATCTGTAATGCAGTATATGTCTGCGGTATTCAATATAATGTGGCATGCGACATAAATAATATTATTTTGATTATGAATTAATATGAAATATAATTTAAATATGTATGGTATTTACTCGTAAGTCACAAATAAAGTTTGTAAATAAACATATTTGTAATATAAATCAAATAAATTGTCTGTTTGAATTAAAAAATTTCTTTTCAATTGTATTATTAATTTTCAAAATTAATGTACTGATGAATTATCAGTATGTATATATGATGATATCATCATCATCATATAGAGTTATTTTGAATTTTTGTCTATAGCATTATCTATTTAAATATTTTATAAAAAAAGAATAAAGGACAAAAATTTATATTAAAACATATTTGCTAATACTTGCTATATTTGCGTTCATAAAGTGTAAAACAACAAATGATTCGTAATAATTAAATAAGAGCTATAAACAGATTTATAAGTGAAAATGAACTTCAGCAAATAAAAACAAGCTTCCATATTTAAAATTTTATCTTATTAAGTATGACAATAAAATAAAATATTATTTAATTTTTAAGTGCTTATATCTGCAATACAATATACTAACCATAATTTAAGCAATAAAGTGAACAAAAAAGTGATATTGTCGGTACTAAAACGATCGTGAATGGATTATGTAAATACATGATAATTATTGTGTTACACAAGCCACGTTTTGGGGTTTACATCTCCCTTACTACTTTGAACTAGATAATGTGTGTTTTCAAAGACACCATTAAACGAGTTTCTGTATATGCCCTTAATCAGAATTATTAAATGATCTTGTTGTGAAGATATTTGGAGCGAAGTATACGAATAGGATTTCATTTTCTTTAACTTTACATGAATATGGATCTTTAGCAAAGGTCTCCACACCTTGCTAATGAACAGAAACACTAATAATTAACAATGATAATAAAACTTTATTCAACTTTTCTTAAGAGTAAAATCAGAAACGTTTTCCTCAATTCAATTAAAAAACTAAAAATATTTGAAATTGAATTTTACTTTTCAATTTCAGTAAACCCATAGCCTACTGGCGTCGCCACAGATCCATTTGAAATATTTACCCAGATTTATGATGTTCCGAAAACTGAAAAAAACGGAGAAACAAATACCCAATATATAAGTTATAAATCACTTTTTAATTAATTAAATGCCCACTAATTTGGTTGAATATTTTGAATTTTAAAAATTATGGTACTTTAAAGTTTAAAGTTGATTTTTGGAAAATTTTTTTATAATTTTTGCGGAAAACAAAACTTTTTGCAGTTGTCTTCAACACAGTGTTTTCTTAGAGCATTAATCATTATTCTACAGTCCGTCATGCGAAGGATAGATAGGTAGAGAGAGAGGGAGAGAGTGAGAGATAAGGAGAGAGTCAGAGATAGGGAGAGAAATATAAAGAACAAAAAATTTAAAATTATTAGACACGCTTAAAATCGCATTGGCCACTGCAAAGGAGTCACTTTTTTTGCCATCTGTTTTTTATTTTTTGAGTTGAAAGGCGTTATTATGGGTATATTAATACTTGTCTTGTTTTCTAATTGTAATCCTGTATTAGTCAGTTTTTCTGGTGTTGACAAGTGCGTGCTAGCTATATCAAGGAAACCTGAATAAGGAAACAACTAACTGTAATTTAAGAATATTTAAATTGCGTAATATGTGGTTGTAATTCCCACCTTTTACCAATAGCTTTTTGACATAAAAGCAACGCAACGTTGGTTTTCTTAGCGCGCTCTAAAATATTTTCTTTCCAAATAAATTTTCTATCGAAAACAATATATAAAAATTTTGCTTTCTTAGTATATTGTATCGCAGAACCTAGAGTATAGGGTGAAAAAATATTGAGAACCTTATGTTTCCACTAAAGACCACGATATCAGTTTTGCTGGGGTTAAACCCACGGCCACATTTCAGCGTCCGCTTATTTAGGATATTAAGGCCATTTAGTAGAATATCCCCTATGGTGGTAGCATATTTTATGGTAACAATTAACACAACATCATCCGCATATGCAACAGCCTCGTAACCCGCTCTCCTCAGTTTTTGCAGCAGTGCAGTTTTACTAATACCTATGTGTGCAAAGCGTATTTAAATGAGTGTTCGTACTACATAAGATTGAAAACGAGAAGACTAAAGCCCTGTTTATAACTCGTAAATACAGGCAGCATCCACCGAGCGTGAGAGTTGCTGACATCGCGATTAATTGGGAGGACAGCATTTAATACCTAGGAATCACGTTTGAAGAGCGGTTCATTTGGCACAAGCACATACAAGTCAAAAGAAGTAGTTGCGGAAACAACCTTAGCGCGAAGAACAGAAAGCTGATAATTAGACTAGCACTACTTTATGTTTCGCGTATAGCAAAGCTGCAGACTCTACTATCCCATAATATACATAAGGGACAGAGCCCTGAAGCTATATGCGAAAACCGACAGGCTGCCCTACTTAGCACTATCTAATGTCAGTGTAATCACTTCTGCACGGAGCAGTATGCAGATCTTAGATTAGTTAGTGAATAATCACTAAGATTATGAGGAATACACAAATTAGTCAGTAAGATTAATCAGTAAGGACTCTGCAGAAACTCCCTAGCTATTAAAAAGTAAAAGTGTCCAGATGCACTAATTCGGAAAAGAGTCAACATTATTATTTATTAAGATTAATTTATTTATTATGTAACTAAGTAAATAAATGTTGTGACTTTTTGGTTGAAGTTAAGCAGACTTTACTGTACTTTAAGCGATGCATATATATTTATTGAAAACAATTTAATATATTAAACTTTAACGCATATATTAAAATCCTTATTTTCTAGAAATAATGACTTTTTATCTATTCTTGATTAATACATAGATACATTTACACTTCGTTGAAAAGATGCTGTATTAAATGAACTTAAGAGATTAGTCGTGTATCCATAAAAAAGAGATTTCATTTGTTTACATTTATTTTAATGAAATCAAATGATAAAAAATGTTCGTATATGATATAAAAAATATAATCTACAATTCTCAATGCAATCAAATTACGATCCATGAGCATGTAAATTTGTGTTACGTTCTCAACTGCTGTTATCTCGTGTTTGTTCGCATTTTCTGAGCAGTTATATGAAACAATTGCTTATCAGGTTTGCACGTGAGAACGGGTGATACTGTGCAGAATCGCTAATAGTTCCAGATACACGACGATCTCAGCTGGCACTTTAGTCTTAGAATTCCTACCAGTAAGACGTTTGCCGGTTGCATTGGCATTGCACTAGAAAAAGAAAAATTAATTTGATTATTGAAATATAAATTTTTTTAAACGATTTAAGTGAAATGATAAATATAAATATAGTGATTTGTGCTTGTCTAAGAAGTATTAGAAAAACTTGAATTGAACAAAAAAGAGAAAAATATGTTTAATGCATTGTAATAGACCAAAACTTTCAAAGTTCCTAGAAGAAATTTTATATAATTATAATTACTCTGTGATATTGTTAACGTAATAATCAAATAATATATTTGTTCATAAATAAGTTTTATATAGTAAAAATAAAAACAAAAAATGGCTTCAGGTAAATAATGTATTAAAGGCTTAACTCAAATTGTTGTAATAATTATCATTATCATCATCGTCATCATCATCATTATCATTTGACTCTACAGTCATAGTAAGCTTTTGTAATAAATTGAAGTTGTTCATTTATATTTTTGGGTGGCCTAATAATTTTTATGTTATATATTGGATAGATAAGGATATAGATAAGGAAATAATTGCAATAATTGACGTTTAAGTTTTAATTGTGAACTTGAAAATGCTTTAATAAGTGTTAAGTAAGACGTAATTTAAATCGCGATTCGATTAAATTTGTATTTTATATAATTTTTTGTACAATTTAAATTAATTTGCTGTTTTAGTTTATATGAAATCTGTTCCACAAAAAAAAAATTTTACCAGAATCAATAGATGTTTAATATAGGTCGAAATGTTAAAATAGTATAATTCACGTAACACACCTATAATTTAAATTAGTGTATAAGCAAGTTTTTTTTCCATTATAATTCATTCCAAGGAACGCAATTTAGTATGACCTATTTTTATTATTGAAGATTTTATTAAATTAAAAATAAATAAAGGGCATTAAAAAATTCAATAATAATAAAACTAATTTTTTGTGAAGAAAAGAGTCAGCAAAGTATATATTATTTCCTTTATTTTGTACATGGATATATCAATTCCATTAAAAGTCATTCATATATTGTATGATAGCATTTAATTTATTTTAAAAATAAATTATCTTTAAGAATAAGCTTTATTTTCAACAAAAAAAATTTGTTTTATTAAACTATATTGTTACATTACCAAAAAAATATTTTTGTCAGTAAAATTCAATATACACACTATCAAAAATATAATTTTATTAATATAAAACGTTCTATATTTTTAAGATTTTTATATGATTTGATTATTTAGAATGTATAAAGCCTATGTTGTTAATTCTTTTTTTATAAATGTACATGAACTATGTGTGAATAATTTTCTTCTATAATCTGCCAGCATATGTATCTACCAACCATTGGAACATAACTGATTATTAACCCAGGCATTTAAATTGCAGAATTTTAATAATAAACAAATTTTGCTTATATTGTTACAGTACTAAATAAAAAACATTTATGTTAATAAA